AAACCAGGCTTTGTTGGGCTGCTGGATAAAACCTGGAACTAAACGCTATTTCTGACATTTTGAATTAAAAACGATTCCTGGATGGAAGAGAAACGTTTTCAAACTTGGAAACAAAGTCCAGTGGATTGTTTTTTAACTTTTTAAAAATATAAAAAATTTACTTTAACCCTGTAAAAAGTTACTGTTTGGGTTCACTCAGAGAGACGCTGACGCCTGTGATTTTAGCCTAAAGAGAAGTTTTATTTTATTTTTATTTTTTTACGGCACTAGTGGCTCTTTTTTTCAACAGTAGGCTGAACACAAAAGAGGTGTGAGAGAGAGAGACATGAGGCAAAGGACCACATGTCTGATCCGAACCCGGGTCAGCCCCATTGAGGACTAAGGCCTCCATACCTGAGCCGTGCGCACTAACCACTGCTCCACGTGGACACCCTATTTGCAAAGAATGGATTAAAAACAGTTCTTTGGCGCTCTGACCCCGGCAGAAAACTTGATCCTGCAAATTGACATGATCCCTGATGAATAGTTTAGAAAAGTCTTCCTCCTCTGGGGGTCTGGACTGGAATAAGCCAGAAGATGAATGAGAGATGGACTGAATTCCAAACGGCCCCTAAACACTAACCCCCCTTGTTGAACGTTCCCGCGGAACGTCCGTCACATTAAGGGCCGTCCCAAACCACGTAGTGGGTAGGGCGAGTGGACCGTTCAGCCCTTGAAGAGAGAGTTTGCATCCGTGCAGGCTCGCTGGAATTTCGCAGCGAGTGTAACGGCGAAAGGATGGCGGAGGAAACGCCTGCATTCAAATGTAAGTTCCTCTGGTTTGCTGCAACTTCGTCACACTGACAGAAAATATGAAGTTTGGAAAAAGAAAAAAAAAACATCAATAATCCCTAAAGAGATGATTTTATCTGATTGCATATATTCATTTTTAAGAGAGGGATAAATGTTTGATGTGATGTCAACCTGTGCCACAGGGGTACACACACACACATGTGTTGCCATAGAAACGACTGCTCTCCTGTTGGAGGGAAGAAGGCGTCTCATTCTCCTTTAACCCCCCACCTTCAATCCAGCCGGCTCCCACAGCTGTGAGTGGGACTTGATTGGGAGAGACACTTCATAGTTAAGGGTTAATGCTTAGGAGGCGTTTTGGGATTCAGCATGAGAGTTAAGGGGGGGGGGGATGAAAGTTCATCAGGTATGTGGGGGAATTGCTGAAGGGGTGGGGTTAACTTCAGAGGGGGTGCGGTCCTGATATCCACTGGCTGGAACTTCGGCCCATCGCAGGTGATCCAGGTGAGGCTGACCAGAGTCCTCCAGGAGAAATTTGTGCTTCAGCTTCATTTATAAGAACAAATCTTTAAAGGAAAAATCAAATTCAGAATCCAAACTTCAGAAAGTTCTTTAAATCTGAAATGATTC